CAAGCAACGTGGTCCTCACAGCACGGCAAGAGAAAGTGCCGAGCCTTTCAGGGTGAGTCTTACCAGAGGCCCACGTGCTGGCAGCAGCTGGACAATGTGGTTAAAATGTCATGTAATTTATTGTCTTTCACTGTGTGTGGTGCTGGGGATGGAACCCAGGGCCTCTTGACGCTCATCAGACGTGCTCCCACCCAGTACACCCCAGGCCCCATCGTTATCTCCCTGAGTTAAAAAAGTGGCCTAAATCTCTATTTGAGGTGAAATGAAGAGATCCAATTATGTGGAGTATTTAACTTATTTGTTTAGTTGTGGTGCTGGGGCTCAAACCCAGGGCCTCGCATGTGCGAGGCAAGAACTCCACCAAACGTTTGTTCTTAAAACCAGAGTAGATTCCGGCAGACACCTCATCTGGGAACCGACCTTCCAATGACAAGAACACGCTCTGCTTCACACCCCAGCACCTCTCTTAATTTGGCGTGTGATTACTTCCCTTGTTGAGCTAGAAAAAGTCAGCATCAAATGTCATGGCTATGCACAAGGCACTTGCCGTGGAGGGCAGAAAAATCTTGCTACTTCAGTTCCAGTTCAGTGGAGCTCAAGGTGGGTGACACGGGGGACAGAGCTCAAGAAGGTGGGTGACACGGTAGGGTGGAGGGGGGCAGAGCTCTGGCTCTGCACCCGGCTCACTGCCTTCCTGCTGCTGACCTTGGTCCTGGGCCTCAGCTTCCTCAGGTCAACAGGGATGAGAACAGCCCCTGCTCTGCGGGGTACTCTGAAGGTGACACTGGTGGTGACAGGGAAGGCGGGTGCAGACCGCCACCTCAGCACCCTCTGCTGTTATCTGCTGATGGCCTGAAGGTAGCCTCTCTGTGACTCCCAGGGAACTCACGGCAGTTAGTTCTCCCCCTCGTGATGACGACTCCAGAGGAAATCGATGGTGGAGAAATATTCACACACACGATGCTAAAGGCGATCCTGCTGCAGTGGACAAGGCCACCGTCTGTGACTGGCGGGCGTCTGAGCCCAGACCAGGGCTACCAAGAAGGTGCTGCATCCGTCCTGAGCACACAGGTCCTGAACCAGCCTGTAGCCCCTTCCATGCCAGCCCCAGGCATGGCACAGAGGAATCAAGTCACCCGCATCTCCTTCAGCCACAGCCGGCCACAGGGAGAAGGGTCCATCTAGGGGCATGGGGGACAAGTAGGTGGTAGAAGCTATTTTCATCTCGGATGATTGGAGCCTGGGTAAGTTAAAGCACTTGGCCTGGCCCCAACCTGCCTTGTCCCTCTAGCCAGTCCCTCTAGCTGCTGGGCTGACAAAATTCACCTCGAGTTCCTCCAACGTGCTGCGCATTTTTCTACCTTCTTATCTTTGTCCATCATCCCACTTCCTCTTAACCAACTGACCCCGTGTGGTCCAGCCTGCGCCCGCGTGGGAAGTGGGGGGCTCTGCCTGCTGCTGGTGCAGTGGGAACAGAATCGCTGAGTAAGACACACCAGAGCCCTGCCCCTCCTTGTGTAATGCACTCACACTACTTCTTGAATTTACCCTTAAGAGCACAGTAATAGGGCTGATATGGCTCAGTGGGTAGAGTGCTTGCCTCGAATGCATAAGGCCCTGGGTTCAATCCCCAGCACCACCACCACCAAAAAAAAAAAAAAAAGGCACAATAATACAAAGACTTATTTACAAGGCATCTTTAAATACCAACAATTGTGTTTCTGAAGAACAGCGTTTGATGACATTGAAAAAGCTAAAATTGGGGGCTGGGGATGTGGCTCAAGCGGTAGCGCRCTCGCCTGGCATGCGTGCGGCCCAGGTTCCATCCTCAGCACCACATACCAACAAAGATGTTGTGTCCGCCGAGAACTAAAAAATAATAAATATTTAAAAAAAAAAGAAAAAGCTAAAATTATAATATTAAGCAGAAAAGGAATGTAAGGTCAGAACAGATTTAGGTTTTATTAAAATATACAATTATATTTAACAGGCATCAAAGTAAAACTAGAAATAAATATTAAAATGTTAACAGCGTCCCTATCTCCAGGTGGTGGGAGATAGGGACACTGTGAGATGAGGGTTCTGGGAGCTTTTTCTCTTGTGCATTTGGGACAGGACATACATCTGCCATCACTGTGCCCCTTCTTCTGGCACTGACCCCCCTGCTTTTCTCTGGGATGCTGCCCCTCTGCTCTCAGAGACAACCTTATAGGACAATCAGGATGCTCCCTAGACCTTCCAACTCCACTGTCTCCCCTCTTGGTTTTCGCTCCCCAGTACCCACAGGTGCTCCAGCGTCTGGAAGCACCTGTCCTGGGCGGCCTGTCTGCGGTTTGGGCCCCTGCCACCTGAGGCCTGCTTTCTGAGGCTCCCCTTTGATGCTTTGAGATAAACCAACACCCTTCTCATCGATCCTCCTTTGGTTCAGAGGAAGGCTGTGATGCCGCTTGAGACTCAGGGGTCTGAACCCACACCTGTTCCTCCCCACGGCGCACAGGTTCCTCTCCAGGGAGGAGGGAGAAGGCGGCTCAGGGCAGAGCTGGGGAGATGGACAGATGTGGAACAGGCCCTGCTGGCTGTGTGATTGTGAGGCCCAGTACATGGGCCTCTCTGAGCCTCCATCTCTTCAAATCAGAGAGGTATTCCTGTTTCACGGGGAGCYGCTCTGAGCCTTAGGAGTGAAGTTGAAAGGAGGGTGCCTGGCCAATTAAAGGCCCAGAGGAAACAGCGTCTGACAGCTCTCCACTGGACAAATGGATCTGTTCATCCAGCAAAACAAGGCCAAGTGCCCAGAGTGCCTGCCCTGCACTGAGGGCTGGGATCAACAGTCAGCTGGACGGTCACTGCCTCTGCCCTTGTGGATCTCAGGCTGGTGGGAGATGACAAATAACAAGCCAGAGACAAGGACTAAAGCCATTCCAAATGGTGCTAAGAGTCCTGTAGGAAACAAGGGCTGAGAAACCCAACACGGTGGAGAAAGAACGCGTCTTAGATATGGTGGGGAATGTGGGGGGGCCCGGAGCAGAGGACGCCTGGTGGGGGCCGACACTCTAGCCCAGGGACGCTCCAGGAAAGGAGGGTGGGGAGTGAGTGGATGGCGGACGCGGGCAGGCTGGAAGACCAGGCCCAGGAGTGGGAGTGTGTGCACGTATTTTTCAAAGGCAAACCATTCAGATAGGGCTGATTCGGTCCATCTTATGAAAGTCCTCATCCGCTCTGAGTAGAACTGACATACGCCAGAAGGTTAGGTGACACTAAGAGTGACATTAGGAGTCCTGGGAAGAAATTGTAAGGTGGCAACAATGGAAAAAGAGCAACAGACGGATGTCAGCTTCTTTCTGAGGAACAGAATTCACAGGACACAGAACACGGCACGGGGTGAGAGGAAGGTATCAGATGGACCCCACCTCCAGCCCTCCGAGGCAGGCAGACTGCGACCTCGAGGGGGAAGGGCTGAGTCTGCAGGGGAAGATGGAGGGAGGGACATGGATGGCTGACCCCCAAATGAGTTATAAATCCACAGGGATGGCTGGATGAAAGCCATTTAGCAGTCTTTCTCCTATAAACTCAGTGTGTCCTCTATACAGTCTTTCACATCACTGGATTCAACCCACCACAGACCAGAAATATTCAGGAAGACAACTGTCGGCACTGAACAGCACAGGTTTCCCTGTCACTCCCAACGACACAGCCTCACAGCACTCACGACTGCATCAGGTACCGAGTAAGTGAAAGACGGTTCCCGGTGTACAGGGGTGTGCCCGGGTTATGTGCAAATACGAAGCCACTCCACACAAGGGACCTGGACTCGTGCAGACCTTCGTGGTGGGGACTCCTAGAGCCACACCCCCAAGGCTACCAAGGGACAACGGCACTGGCAACAACCCGACCACCCAGTGCCACCATCGAGGAAGCATCAGCCCCACTTCTCAAGCTCAGGGGTGGGTCAGTGCCATCTGGCAGGCTGGGGACACCGACCACAATGCCACTCAGAAGGTCTGGTGTGGGGCTGAAAAATGTCAATTCCTATGAAGTTGCAGGTGCAAGGACCTCTCTTGGGGGTTTCTGCTCTACTGGAAAGAGTGGCCCCAGCCTTCACCCCTCATCCATGCCCACCGTCTGTGGGACACCTCTCTCCTGGGCTTAACTAAACTTGTGCCCCCGAAATGTTCAAAGAGGGGCCAGGGTAAAGACGAGGTGGAATGTCGAGAGGAAGTGGGCACCGAATGGTCACATCATGTTGGAGTAACTCCTCAGTGAGCCTGAGCCCCCTCCCCACCGGGGAATACAAGGTGCTTAACATTGGCTGATGGTGCCAAGGCAGTTTCTGATATGGAGCAGGAGACTACAGAGATGCTCAGAACTCGTGCCTGAGGGTCCCAGGGCCCTAGACAGGGGGAGGTGTGGGCTGGAAATCCAGCCTCCTTGTGGGGAGCCGCTGCACGGACACCAGGGCAGGGTCAGGCCCTGCATCTCCCCATGCACCCCCATCCTGGCACCAGCACCCTCCTCCCGGGCAACAGAGCTTTCCTCGGGGCTCAGCACCTGCAGCTTCCCAATTTCCAGAAAAATCTCCATTTCATTTAATTCTTTCTTCAATAAGGATAAAAGAGTGAGCATGTAGCAAAACAAACTCGAGCCATTTCCCCTCTGTCAGATTCTTCATGTACAGAGGTCCCAAGCCCCCAACCCTCCCCAGATAACGGTTCTCCCCCCCCATCACCTCCTTCAGAGGTCTCACAAATGATGCTGCCCATTGGCTGGACACCTTCCCGCCCATTCCACGTGGAGGTGAGGCCCCACCCAGAGCACGGTACGGAATCTCAGGCTGGTGCTGGAGAAGGCTGGGGGAGCGGGAGTCACTGGTACAGAGGCGGGGAGCACAGACTGGGGACCTGGCGCCACAAGAGTCTGCCACCCTTCCTAGGGGACATGCCCATCTGGCAGTCCTGCCCGACACCCAGGCGAAGGGCCCATCCAGAGCGAGACGCACGCCTTACCTTCTCGTAAGGACAGTACTTGAACATCTTGATGGGGCTTGTGCAGATGAAGACATCGGTGCTGCCAAGAAGAGAAAGGACAATGAGCCCGTGGCCCCACCTCTGCTGGACCCTCTGACCTCTGACTGGACCCTCTGACTCCTCTACTGTCAGCTCCGAGTCCTGCATCCGCATGGGAAAACCCCGCCGCTCGGCACTGGATCCACATAAGAAACATCAGCTTATGTTTCTGGCCCCACCTGATGGCTCTGGGAAGCCACCAGTGACCCTACTTTGGCTACCAGCCACAAGCTCGGGGACAGGCTTCTGACTCCTGGCAATTTTTGCTGGACAGGACTCAAAAGCTTAGCCACCCCAATCAGGCGCCACCTCTAAAATTTGCATAAGGAAAAAAACAGAGAGGCATGTGGCCACAAGGTCAGCAGGAAAAGGACTGAGCTGGGAGTGCAGCTCAGGGGCAGTGCGTGAGCTTTGCATCCTCGGGATTCAGTACCCATCCCCAGCACACATGTGCGCACACGCTCAAAGATGCAGAACCCACAGTTGCTTGAGGGAGAACGGGGGCCTCGTGCAATGCAAAAGAATGAGCAACGTACCGGGAAGAACTCCAAGAGCCCCTGCAAGTTCTCTGGTCCTGTTAGGCGGGTGGGGAGCCCAGCTCTACCTGCACTGAGCTGTCAACATGTCAAGACAGACGGAGGCTCTACACAAGGAACACCCTGCCCATGGTCACTGTTCTGAGCTGAATTCACGGGGGCTGACGCTGACCCGGAAGGGCCTTCCAGGCACCTGCTCCTCCCTACACCCCCAGGGGCCCACCTGAGCCCTCTGATCCCAAACATCCTCGCAGAGTTGGCATTCGTCGCTGGCACCTGCCGGCTGGTCAGACTGAGCTGTGGGGACTTTTCTCAACTCTTTCTCTTTGGCAAATTGGTCCCCTGGGCGTCCCGTGTAAGCCTGCCAGGTTCCTGCGCCCTCTCATTACTGTAATCTCCTTGATTCTTGGCCCTCCCTCTGCCAACCCGGCTGTCCCCTCACACCTGCTAGGACACCGAACACTCAGTCTCTGCCCTTTGGTTCTCACCTCCGGCCTCTGTGGGGACTGTCCTGCCTCCCTGCAGGCCTGGGTGAGGGCTGGCTTCTCCTCAACTCCACAGGGGGAGGTGAGGAGAGCGTCTTCCCTCCTCTCCATCGCTCCTTCCAAACCCGACTCCTGCAGCCGGTGTCAAATGGCCTCACGCCCCGGTGGTCCTGCCTAACCCGTCACCTGCCACTTGCCAGGTACCGTCCTCCCCGTTCCTCCCGAGCCCCTCTCCCCCTACTCTGTCATCATCCTCAGTGACCCTGCACACGCGCACGTGTGCACACACAGACACAAACACACACACGTGCAAATCCAACAGCTTGCCTTTCGGTGGTGCCCAACCCTTCTCACCACCAGCCTCCTCCCCCACCCAACCTCTCTCCTGCCCATCACTGTCTACAGCGCAGACTCGCTTCAGCCAACACCTCCGTCTCACACTTGGCCTTTCTGGTCACCACTCTCGAGGCTTCTGGAAAACACACACTAACAGCCTGAGCCCAGCTCTTCAGACTCGACCAGAGACACCCCGCTGCGGCCCACCATTTCTGCAAGACCTCTGTCAGCTTGGTGTCCCCTCCTCTCCCCTGCTTGCACTCTGAGGCCCATCTCTACCATCTCTCTGCCTGTGTTTCTCTTGCTCCACTGAGATCTGTTTTGCCAGACCCTGAAAGAATCCAGCTGTCCAACTTCTAACACCAGCATCCAAGCAATCRAAGGTTGCTGGAGGAAAAAAACAAAACCAACAGTTGGAACAGCTCCACTGAGCACTCCAGCTGAGGGCAGCCTTCCTCTGGAGCTGCCATGGGGGCAAGGCTCCCAGCGTGGCCAGACTCACTTTTCCCTGTTCCTCACCTCCTCACCGACGACGCCCGCTTCACTTCTCACCCACCTCCCTCCTCTCACCAGCCCCCTCAACTCTGAACTCTAGCCTCATCTGCCCAAAGACTTTGTCCCTCTAACATCCCCCCTTTCTCTCCTCCTCTTCAATTTCTCCTTCTCAATCCAACATATTCTGGAACCTCCTCCTTAACCTCCTTGACTTACCACAAGGTTACGTCCTGACAGGCCCATGATGAGTTGAAAACCTCAGTAGAAAATGCATTTGATGCGCCCACGCTACCACACCCTACTCTTAATACACCCACTGCACTAGGGTTTCTACTGAATGGATGCATCTTGCTTTCGCGCCACTGTCAAGTCAAAACTCCTAACTGAACCATCTGTGAAACCTAAACCTTGGCCCGCATCCTCCCTCCAGTTACCGCATCTGCTCCCTTGGTGCGTAACAGACCCAGCGCCCTGCTCTGCTGCAGCCTCAAATGTCCTCACCTCCTGCCCCTGCTGCGACCCCCTCCAGCCTGAGGTCAGTCCCTCCACTCCACAGAAAGTGGTCRCTGTCATCAAGGACCCTCGAGTCCCCCGTGCGTGGCACACTGCACACCCTTCGCCTCCCTCACCAGCATTCCACCCCCTCTTTGCCAGCTCTCCAGGGTGCTCCTGCCACACTGGCTCCCCCTGGGGCCTCCCTCGGGGCTCTCCACCAGCTCCAGTATCCTCCAGGCCTGCAGCTTTAATGCCACCTGTAGGCTGGCACCTCCCAGGCTCTCCCCGCACCAGCTTCCAGTCCTTCTGGACTATTAAACAGCCCCACCTGGACACCATGCCTCTCAAAATTGGCAGTTCCAAAGTAAACGTGGGATTTCCCTCACCTCCCAAATCTGTCCCTTCCCTGGTACTCCTCTARCTAACAGCACTAAAATAAATGGCACTGTATTGGTAGACACACATGCTAAAGAAAAACCCTGAAAATCACCACTTTCTCCTACCTTTCTTCCACCCCCAGTATGATAACCATCGCCAAGTCCTCTGGGCTTTACCCACATGGGTTTCAGCCCAATAGCTTCTCTCCGTGGCTGTCAAGCACCCAGGCCAAAGCACCCTCTCCCCAGTGAGCTGCTGTAAACACTCGCTAGTCCCTCAATTTCCAATTCTGACCTTTCCAGATCATTCTCCATCTCACATCCAGAATGACTTTTTTTTTTCTTTTTCTTTTTCAGGCTGACCTTGACCGGGGTTCAAGTGATCCTCCCTCCTTGGACGCCTGGAACTACCATCACGCCTCACCACACCTGACTTGACTGATTATTTTTAGACAGTTTTATTGAGGTATAATTGACATGCAGTAAACTGCACATATTAAAAGGGCACAATTTGATAAGTTGTGGCACACGTACACACCCACAAAACACAGGACGCCACTATCAGGGTAATAAACACACCCTGTACCCTGAGCATTTCCCTTAGTCATCTCTCCCATCTGCCCCGCCCACGCCTGGGCCCCTGCAACCCCCAACAGCTGCAGATCAGATGGGATTTTTCTAGAATTTTATGGAAGTGGAAACATCGAGTATCATTCTTTTTTTTTTTTTTAATCTGGTTTCTTTCGTCCAATAGAATTGTTCTGATATTCACCCATGCTGTTAAAAATGTGTCCAAAGATTGTAAGTTTTTCAAAATTAAACAAACTGATTTTTTTAAAGTTTTATTAAGATATAATCCCTATATCATAACACTTACCCACCTTAATAGCTAAATGAATTTTAGTGTATTTACAGAGTTTTACAACCATCACCAAAGTCTAATTTCTAGGATATTCTGATCACTGCACAAATAAAACTTACGTCCATTAAACAGTCACCTCCCACTCCCTCCTCCTGGCCCCCTGCTTTGTCTCCAAGGATTTGCCAACCTGGGACATTTCATATAAGTGGAATCACACACTGTATGTTCTTCCTTCTCTTAGCATGTTTTAAGGTTGCTCCGTGTTACAGCATGAATTAGAACTTCATTCATTTTTATAACTGAATAATATTCCATTTATGGACATACCATGTTTAGTTAGCCTATTCACCCACTGATGGGGACATGGGTTGCTTCTTTTAGATATTACAAAGAGCACTACTGTGAACATTTGTGTACAGTTCTGCACTAACAGTTTCACTGCTCTTGGGTGGAATCACAGGCTCATATGGTAATCCTGCACTTAATGTGTTAAGAGATGGTTTGCCAAACTGTTTTGCACAGTGGCTGTGCATTTTACATTCCYACCCACAACATATGAGGGTTCCGAGTTTTCCACATCTTCTCCCACAACTGGTACCATCGTCTCTCCTTAGTGGGTGTGAAGTGACACCTCACTGTGGGGTCTCAGGTTGTTTGGTTTCTGTTTCTGCAGTGCTGGACTGAGTCCAAGGCTCTGTGCATGCTAGGCAATGCTCTATCACCGAGCTACACCCTCAGACGTCATTTGTGGTTCTAACTTGCATTCTCCTGATAATGAGTGTCATTAAGCACGATTCCATGTACTTACTGGCTCTCTGTAAATCTTCTCTGGAGAAATGTCTATCCACATTCGTTGCCCCAAACCCACAATTTTAAAACCTGTGTCAGGTCACAGCACTCTTTCCTCAGTCTCCTCCTCTGCCACTGTCATCCCACTCCCCCTACCACACTCACTAAAATTCTAGCTGCCCTGGTCTCCTTTATGTCACTCAAATCACTCAAATAAGCAAAACCCTTGCCCATCTCAGGGCTTTCACGCCTGCTCTCCTCTTGGCCTRGAGTGCTGGCCCGTTCCTTCTCAACCTTCAGGTCTGAGGTCAGATGTCAGCTCCTTGGAAAAATCATCCCACCCCGCCAGAAGCAGCCCCTTCCCCATTTACTCTCCAGCACGTGGCCTTGTTGATTTCCTTCACACAGCTCATGGMAATCTGAAATGGCACTTGCAGTTGTTCACGCGGCCGTCTGGCCACTGGGATGTGAACTCCCTGAGGCCTGAGACCTTAGGGGTCTTATCCACTGACACATCCCCAGTGCTGGTGCCATGCCACCTAGTAAGGCAGATACCAAGTCATTAAAAATGTGTCTGTCTAGGGAATAAACTGCCTCTTATTCCAGGCTCCACAATGGAGTAACAG